GATTTTTAGGATTTGTTTTGGTGATATTCCAGAGGGAATTGTCCTGAGCGGGGAGGGAGGCAGGGAAGGAATCAAAGGATTGGGTTTTGAAGTTGGATAATTCTTGCTTTAGTAGTTTACAGAGATAGTTATAGGAGCGGCGGTCGGTGGGATGTCTGGTACGTTGCCATAACAATCTGGCACGGCGTTTGGTATGGATTAGGTCGAGGATGTGATGAGGTAATTTTTTTTCTTTGTAATTCTTGGAGAATGATTAGGGGAGGAAGCAGTCCAGACTGCTTGTTGAATAGTGGTGGTTAAGGAATGTACAGCATTGTCAAGGTCATCTGGGGTTTTCAAGGTTATTCTGAGGTCAATTTGATCGGCGAGGAAGAGTAAAAAAGAAATTATCATCTGTCACACTTTTAGTTGAAACAGACGATGGTATTACATGCAAAAGCCATGTCGACAAATAGTCAGACTTCTCCATGAGAAAATAAATAAGAGAAGATGCTATTTATGTAAATCAACAAGAAAGCAACCAAAGAATCGGTCTTGGAAGTGGGAGCATCCCTTGAGACCTGCAGAATACTCAGTAGTTTATGTTAGTTTAATGTTAGTTAATTTATGTCGTTAGTTTAATTAATGTTAAGTATACATATAGAAAATATTGTTATATTAATGAAGAAAGCAACTAACGGATTCATTAAAGTTCTGTGTGATGTAATCAGAATAAAAGTATGTCGATCTTAAATATTTCATTGGATAGCACAACTGAGGCTATAGAATATTATAAAACAGTAATTAATTAATTTTAATTTTGTCAATTAATAGTTGCTTGAGAAGCATAAGTTCATTCACAAATTTTGATTCGAAAAATGGTAAATATCCCTTACAGATCCTAAAAGATCGTTATTTATATACAAGAATTATACGTATTTTTGATTTTTTTTTTCATGTTTTTAATATGTTGTTATTTTTTTAACTATGATACACTTTCTTTAATAAGGGGGAAATTGTCATGTATCGATATCAATAAGTACATTAAGTCGTAGTGACTTACAGTGTTATCTTTTATGATGAATAAAAGAGTTGTGATTACTAATATTGTAGATTTGTGTTTTAATATTTAAAATACCTAACAATCTCTGATAAAAATAAGTGGTAAATGATGCAACACACTTTGAAAGTCGTTTATTATATACGAATAAAGGGACAAATATTCCCAAGTGTATAATGTTTCCTCCAAAAAAAAAAAAAAAAAAAAAACTCGTTAACTTTTACACTCCGGCTATTAAATATTTTCATAAAAACTAAGTTTATTTTTTCTTTTGATTGAGGCATCCAGGATAATGAAAAAAAAATTATGAAAAACCGACTGAATATTTTCTTCTTTCCTGTTGGGATAAAAGTTAACTGGAAAAAAATCATTTGGGATTGTTAAGCAGGTGCTCTTCCTTTTTTCCTCTAATATAATGGCAACTAAATCTCCAAGTAATAGGCTGGTGATAATTCCACCTAAAGGTGTACTAGAAATTACACTGACCCTAATTACAAACTTTTTTAATTTCTTTTATTTTCTGCTTAATTAAAGCTACTTTAATTATTATTATCTTTCTACTCCCTCTTCCTTTTCCCCAGCTTACCGGTGGATCGTGGACCATTTCCGTCCCTTCATTTGAGTAATGCATAAGTTAATTACAAGAAAATTTCGGCCGGTGGTGGTTACAAAGTAAAAGCTGTGGTAGAGGTGAATATAGATTAATTAACAAGGTCTGTGAAACCAACAGAATCCAACAATCTGGTTTAAACAAAGTTTTGATAAAAATTTAAGATTTGCTATAACTCTCTCTAAAACGTCTTTAAAAATAGCTTGACAATTTTAAAGAATACTGTAGATTTATAAAACTTTTTAAAAGGAGGAGCCCATGAACCGGACCTAAGTAAACCTTCTTTGAACCACTTTACTTTCGTGCATCTAATTCATGTCCCGCTTTTTAGAGGCTTCCTTGACTTTTTCCATCTACACGTTTCTTGGTAACTTCTTTTGAGGCGGGTAGACACATAAGGTTTCGAAAAATAATGTTTAAATAGCAAAATGACTCAATGAGTGAGTAAGAGTCTTGAAAAGGAAGACCTTAAATTCTTAGGTGGATGAGGATCCAAATTTCTATCGGTCTACGGGCTAAGAGATGGGCCTTGAAACATCGCAGGATGCTCATCTCAAAAGGAGAGATGAATCTTCAGACGTTACGGGAGGAAGAAATACCAACGAAGGAATGAGCCTACGGCTAAAACCGGACGGATGAGCTTCAAGACCATGTATGGTCAGAGAAAGATGAGGAAAAAGTTAAAGGAACATGATTTAAAGAAATAGTCAGATTGGTATTGTATAAAAAGTAAGGGAAGGCCAAAGCTTCGATGGAATTATAGTGTGGTATACGACGCCATCAGGGACTGGTGACTGTCAGAAACAGAAATGATTGAAGAAGGCTGGTTGAGAATAATATTATTGTATTCGCAAATTTTAATTTGTTTCACATCATATCATGTTTAGGACCTTAATGATATGAGTTGAGTATAAATAGTCAATACTTGAAAAACTAAAACAAAATTTTATCTTCACATATTTATCTACAACTATTGACGAATTGTATGAAAAAAAAAAGAAATGAAAAAATAATTTTATTCTGGGACTACTGTCCCCTAAGAATAATAACAGATTTACAAATTTATGTATCTTAGTCTGACATAATAAAAATAAAAACTAATTTATTGTTAATTCTTATTCCAATTGTGCAATGGATTGAAATTAAACATTGTATAGATGCAAGTAATTTTACATGTTAGGGGAAGTTTGAATGTGGAGTAGGTGTTGGAACAGGAGTTGTTTGAAGGAATTTGTGGATGAGGGTTGACGCATGGGGGTAGGAAGTGAGTGTAATTGTAAGTAATAATAAATTGTATGAGTAGAACATCTTTCCTGACTTGATTCAATTACCATGATTATGACCTTTTTAGGCTCTTTCTAGCACTAATGGGCTTGCCAGTTGAAACCATGTCTTTTATTAATATGTTAGTATGTTCGAGTAAAGTATTGTGAAAGTGTTGATAAAGTGTAGCTATGACTCGTTATATTTTTGATTGAAAAGTTAAAAGTTTATTGGGTGAAGTTTTGAAGCAGATATTTGTAGGTTATATATCTGTGAGGAATGAATATAGGTTTCTGTGTCAGTTTTATTTTTGCCGATTTGGAAAAAAGTAAGTAAAACAGCTTGAGTCGTCTAATATGAGAGTTCTGTTGTATTTTAACGTATGGCTCATGACATTCTTCTAACACAGTTAAATCGGTGACTTTCTGAAGAATTTGGATTCTTTCAATATAAATTAGAGTGAAGGTATTTCTTTGAAGGGCAAATTTAATGTGTGTCGATTTATCGTAGTTTTGTCGAATTTTTCATAATTTGTTAATATATAGATATGAAAAACAAACATCCTAAGGGAATTGACTTGCATATCTACTTAAACATCTTATTATTAGATTATTAGGAAAATTGACATTTACGAATATTTAAACTTGATAACAACATATTACAGCTACTGACAAGTAGAAATCCTTCCATGCATCAGTCCATGTCAATATTTGTGAGTGTCTTGAGTTTCGTTTAGAGTTTTGGTGGCAAAGATATATATATATATATATATATATATATATATATATATATATATATATATATATATATATATATATATATATATATATATATATATATATATATATAGTAAATCTGCTATAGGAATATATAATATGAAAGTACTTGTGAAGAAGCTACACATTGAGAACACTTTAAAGTTAAATTAATTTAGGAGGTCCCTTGGCTATCTTCTTTTCAGACACCTCAGAGGGTTGTCAGGAATTTTATTGGATGAAAGGTTACGAATTAGAGGATTGGGGCGACTAACGAGTTTGGAATCAGAAGAGGAATATCTAGTTTGGGCCAAGTCTTGCACAAGAGGAATGTTGAGATCTTTATGGATAATTTTATCTGTTACATAATAAGGAACATTTGGGATTTAACGGAGGATATTGGATTGTAAGATTTGGATACGAGAAGAATTCGATGCTTTTGTAGAGCCCCAAAACACAATACCATATGTCGAAATGGGCCTATGATGGTAGTGTAAATGAGTTTTTTGTAGAATATTGGAATTTAGAGCGTTGGTCAAGTAAATGTTGTAGTAATCGGAATCTGTTGGCAGTTTCTTGTCTTTTAAATTTAATATGAGAATTACAGGTAAGGAGTTTGTCAAGAAGGAGTCCTAGGTTTCGGATCTGTGCGACAGGGATCAGTCGAATATTGTTAAAATATATGGTAGGACAGGATGTTGCAGGATTACAGAGATTGGTAAAAGTAATTTGTTTGGATTAATTTTAACTCTAAAATTTTCATACATTTCTTCAACGGCTGTATTGTGTGACTGCAGGGTATATGATGCAATAGTTGGTTTGTTATTGACAGATGGCACACATGTGTCATCAGCACAGGTAGTGAGGACGGTTGAAGGATGGGTTAGGGTATTAGCTGTATATACTGTGCAAAGGATGGATCCTAAGTTACTCTTGAGGAACTCCAGCGGGATGGGAAAAGAGAGATGCATAAACAGAGTTACAATTTACTTTGAAAGTTCTTTCTGCGAGATAAGAACGGATTAATAGGAAATAAGTCGATGGGCAGGAATTGACGGAATTCGTACAGCAAACATGAAGACTCGATCAAATAACTGACAATTAAACCAATTTTAAATCTCCATAGACACCAATTTCCCTAACAACATACTAAGTTGCTTAAGTGCGTGTAGGGAATCAATCTCTTAGGATCGCTATGATTTTTCGGTTAGTGAATCTTGTTTTTTTTTTTTTTAATTTAACTTAATTTTTTCTCCATAGATTCTAGGGGCTTACTGATTAATAATAATATTAACACTACTTGACGCGTAAATTTATCATTATGCAAGTATCATTATACCGGAGCGTACTTACACAAGACCCTGAGAGTGACATCCCTGAAGGCCGACCTGCCGACACCGTTGTTGGCCTGGCACTGGTACACCCCGGCCTGGTGCCGGTTCACGGCTCCCATTGTTATAGTCGATCCATTCATCGGCTTCAATCCGGGCATCGTCGTGTTCACCTGCAATAATAATTTTAAACCAAATTATTATATTAATAATTAATTTTAGTCAATCATAATCACAGATTAGTTTAGTGATATTACATGGAAATAAAACTACACGTACTATAGGCAAGTTAAAAATTAGTAGCAATGATTAATCTCAGGGAGGATAATAAAAAACAAAATTAAAAGAAGCTACTTCGAAATCTATGTTTATTTACTGTTGCACTATTTCAATAACCATAAAAAATTGGATGTGTTTAACAGTGCTCATGACCTCTCATTGGCTTCATTATACCTATAATTCGGTTGGCGCCTTTCGCTATATCACACACACACACATACACACACACACACACACACACACACACACACACACACACACACACACACACACACACACACACACACACACACACACACATATAAAAGGGGCTGGGCTAGCCTTGCGGGCTAAGGCGCTTGCAAAAGGTAACAGAGTTAAGCAACGACTAGTGTGATAAGCAGTTGTATGGGTGACCGCTCAATTTGGATGACCGTCCACCAGAGAAAGCCATGCTTCCCGAGACCTCCCCCCTTCAATCTCCCGGGTTCGTGAGGCCCGTCATTCTAGTCTAAAAGACTAGACTCGCGTTCAAATATCTACAAAGTCTGTTGTAGAGAAAAAAAAAAAAAAAAAAAAAAAAAAAAAAAAAAAAATATATATATATATATATATATATATATATATATATATATATATATATATATATATATATATATATATATATATATATATATATATATATATCATACACACACACTATGTACAAAATCTAATTAGGTACTAAATATTTACGGGAGAATTCTAGGCCGTTGAATATGAAACATCGTCTCTACTATTCTTTACTCTGCTAAGACAGGGAGATATCAAAAGTATATTATTTTTTTATTTTTTTACTTTCTTTCCTATACTAGGTAAGGAAAGTATTGCAATCGGCCCAAATTTCCGATACGCGGTTTTCGACGGATCTATACGTTTCAGAGCCTTCTGAGTCCGAAAAACAAATTTTTAGCCATTGGTCTGTCTGTCTGTGCAAAGATTTTCTAGGGAACTACAGAACCGATTTTGTTGCTTCTTTTTTTATTTTGTAGGGTTTTAATCACTGATGTCTGTGACAGAAATTCGGTGTTCCATGCGCAATAGCTTGCGCGCAATAAATGAAAAACATGTTTTCTATAGACTGTAGCGCGATTTTGATGAAACTTTTTTATAATGTTTCAACTCCTGTCCTTTCAATTTTCGTATATAGACTAAATTCCCGAAAAAATTCAGGAAGAAAAAGTTATGAAGAAAAGAAAAATTTTATGGGGCCTAACTCCTTAAGTCTATATTATATATGAATTTATTACCTTTTGAAAGGTAATAAAATTACCAAAAAAAAAAACATCAGAATCGAACCAGTATTAGCGATGATACAGCTTATTCTATTTTCTACACATGTTTTAACTTATTACTTTCCTACCTATACTAGGTAAGGAAAGTATTGCAATCGGATCAATTTCCGGATTACGGTGGATCTATTCTTTACGGATTCAGAGCCCCAAGCGTCCCTGTCGTTTGAAAGGTAATGAAATTCCCTACAAAGACATATAAAAATAGTTCATTTTGGACTACTATTAACGAAGTTACAGCTACTCAATTTCCAATGTAAGATTACGGGTTCATATCCTGGTGTCAGAAAGGGGTCAATGAGAGAATTTATTCTTATATGATTAAAGAAGTCATTTTTAGATGACTAAGTGAAAGTAAGAAAATCTGTTGCCCGCATCACACAATCTTCACTATTTCTTCTAATTTTAACAGAAATTATTGTTTGACAATACTAACCTATGGCAAAAAGTTTTTGATCAGCAATATTAGAGGGTATTGAAATTTTTACACTGATCTACCTTAAGCGGGTTTATATTGCTTTGTTTCTTCAAATAAGTCGTACTCAAATCTTTTGTTTGATCAATTTTCAGGAAAATAAAGCTAGTTCAATACGTTTTCATTTTCTCATGAGCATATGTAAAGATATAAAATCTTTTAAATAGGTAGGAAAGTCGTGTGAGTGGACAAACCAGATATTTTTTATTTTTACAAAGACAAAGAGGGAAGTGACTCAATTGACGAATTGAGGTGACAATTGTGCCAATGGTTATTTTGTATTGTGGTCCGGCGGGAAAAAAAAAATCCTTTTTTCCTCCTGTAATTCATTCACACAAAAGAAAATTCATTCACAATTCATATTTATCGATTTTTTATTTCAACTAACAATATTAACAATATATAACAGTATTTAAAATAAATGAAATAAAAATCATTCTGTTTTGACTATTTTACGAGATTTTTGGTTTCGAGAATCTTAAATGGATATTTTGAGAATTTTCTCCTGAAAAAGAAGTTTTAAATGTTTTCACAATCGCAATATTTCTCCATACTATTAGCAATATTTTATACTACGCTTGCTGAGATAAAAGAAACACTATGAACGCATCATCAATGCCATTAAAATTGAAATGATAATTCGTCAAAATGTGGTTTTCATCTAACTTGGAATAAAGTTTGTAAGGAAATTTTACGTGACTAGTTTGGACTATTTGGCTAATAGAGCGGCACTAGTCTTTGATGGACTAATTCGCCTTGGTGCACACTTAGGGATCTCATATACCCAGCAACAATGAAGCGATACTATGTATTCTGATGCACTTTTCTTCTGTTTGGTTACAGAATACCTCACTGCCATTGCCCGGTATCCTGATCAAGATAAATTGATAAAAAATAGTCACGAGTTCGCGTCCCTCTGCAATCCCCACCTCTTGGCAAGAAAAAATACCGTATATCCTAAAGGCGATGAAGGGGAGGAACTCCGCCGGAACTCCCTTCCCTCCCCCCCCCCCAAAAAAAAGAACATCTCACATCGGTAGAGGTATAAGCTGATGTCGATTCAGCTGTTGTCAGTCAATAAGTTGTACAGAAGTTTTTCTTAAAATGAGGGGAGCATATCGATCATATCAGACATAGGAAGAATCCATATTTGAAATGCGGTTTATGGTTTTATAATGATTTTAAAGAGTATTAATACAGTCTGCAGCACCGAAGGACGTTGGTACTAGAGGTATAGTATTCATTCGCACAACATGTACATAAGAAAGGAAAATAAATATAAATAACTAAAGCAATATATATATATATATATATATATAAAGGATAAATAAAATAACAGATTAAAGCCGAATGATGATAAAATAAATAAAAGACATTCACACCTACGTACAATATTTAAATTGGCACAGGGGACCCTGAGTCATGCTTTGCTTCCCAAATGTGGAAGCCATAGCAGGACTCCAGAAGATCCCAATGCTTCTCTCCCAGCACCGTCAGTGGTGAAAATGGAGTTTAAGATGGGTAGCTGAATAACCGGAAAACAATTTCTGAAGAGCCGAGAAAATATATGGTAATCATGTGATTCTTTGTACTATCTGAGAGTACTCATGCAGAACGAGTTCCCTCAACTAGTGATGCGAAAGAACTGCACACATTTTGTGTACGAGTGAAAAGCTGAAAAAGCCCATCACACTTCAATCGGAGTAGAAGCGGACCTTCTCCTGGAAGTCTTCCAGACAAAGCTAAAGTAAAAAATACTTCTCTAAGACCTATGTTTTACCTCCAAGTTCTGAACCATAGTTGTTTGTTAGATGAATGTTTGTTAAATGAGTTGGACATTTTCCATATTTAATGACAGAAATGGCATACACAAGTTTGCAATATTCCACTACTGCAAAACCCTTGTAACCGATAGACATGGTAGTTTTAAATAAACAAATATAGGTCAGTAGAAGAAAAGGTCATGATGATGCTCCTAATTCACTGCTATGAAACGGATGAAATATAATCCTCTATCCTAACGGATAGATATTATTCCTGTACGAAGGAGGTATTACCAGCTTGTGTTAATCAACTGAATTAAGTTCATTATTACAATTTTTATAATAAAATAAGTTATAATAAAACTTGATAAATATTAAATAATATAAATAAACGAGTCATTATTTATACTGTTAATTGATGTCAATAAAACCTAATGATATTGACAAAATAGAAAAGAAAACAATAATAATAAATATTAAACATTTTAAAGTATTAAAAAGCTAAATTATAGCAGTAATATGATTTTTTTCCCTTAATTTTCTTTCTTTTTTTAAAAATTAAATCTTACAATTCAAAGGAAAATAAATACATTTGGGACAGATAAATTATCTTAAAAAGAAACGAAATTATCTTGAATCAAACAAATAAAAACTTGTTTACCAAAGTATAATAATATACTCATATATATATTATTTCTTCCTTTATAAATGAACCACATGATTTAAAAAAATCCATGAGATGCGGAACACAATTTGAATAACCAATGGGGAATTTTATTTTCAGACAAAACAACTCAAGACAAATGAAAACAAAACGACTCCTTTAGGCCCTTCCACGATATTGTGAATGTTTTGATTCCTTTTGTTTAAGGAGAGGGGGAATAGATATTGGTTGTCAAACGATAAAATGATGTTGGATGTATTTGTTGCAAGTTCCTTAATTTAGTGCTTATTCCATTGAAAGAATCCATCATTCGATTGAATCCAGCACCGCTGGATAGCGATCGAAGTTGTGTTTAGAACATAACTGGATTGATTTGGAAGATTATCTCTCGTTATACGTAACAAAACACATAAAGAAAATAATGTTTATAAAAAAATATTTAAATATTGAATTTTTAAATTTCAAAATAGAATTAAATATAGAAAGAATCTAACTAAATAAATATGCATAGTAATTTGAGAAATAACAACAGTGAGGTTATAATCATATTAAGTTCAGAAACTGTAAGCCATCAGTAATTGTAAAGGAAATTGGTGAATTCCATTTAGGGATCCATCGTTGAGTTCAGGAACATAATAATATCATCAATCATATAATCAAATAATAACTGTTATTTTGTTAGATTTAAGAGAAAAGAAAAATGTTGTAATATTTTATTATTAAAACAGCATTGTTAAATTTTAAAGCTTAAAACAGTCTTAAACGTTTAGCACGAATACGAATGGTATTACATTGAAAATTTGTAATATAGTTCTTCAATCTCAGATCATAAAGCCAGATTAATATTGGAAGATTGAAACAGAGGAACGAGAGAATTCTCTAGATAAAAGATGAAAAAGGCTCATCACAAAACCTAATATGTCAGATGAAATTTGTTTCCTCCAAGTATCCACCAGAATGGATCAACGCCGTAGGTTATAACAGTCCATTAGAGCCATTTATGAGAGTTGACGTGCTGCATCTTGCATTCTCCTTCCAGGCGCTAGCCGGCCTCAGTAAAATATTTATGGGGACAATAAAGTCTTCTAGGTCAATATCTTGCTTGAACCTCCAAAACGGATTGAGAAGACATCATTCATAGCTCATTGTTCAGATAAGGCTTCTAAGTATAACTTAATTTTTCATACTTATACTTAAATATTAACCATTGTGGATGAAATAGTTTATTAATATCTAATATCGTATTTCATGTTTAGACATAAGAATTGGGCAAGCATTTATAAATGTATCAATTTAAGATAAGAATGAAAGTCAACGAAAGTAGAAGGCTTCAAGGATGCAATTTAAATTTGAATAATTGCAAGAAAAGATGATGATGATTTAACATATTTTTTGGTTAAAATTATAACTAATATATTAGCATAATCCATATTTGTTATTAATTTGACGAAGAAAATTTCATAATTAAGTTTTTAAAAAATATTTGGGAACAATTATGTTATATCTATGTAATAATAATTAATTAAAAATAATAATTCATTGGTGGATATAATATAATTACTATTGTTCTAATTAATCTCTTTCTTTGTTAGTGAAAAAAAAAATAAATGAAACTGTTGGTAACACTTATTTTATAGCTAGTTATAGCCCACATAGATTCTTCTTAATTTTCAATTTAATTTCAAAATGTGTTAATTTTATTTAAGAAGGTTAATTACATTCATTGCTCTTGGTGCTTTCGCCATTTTCTGTAGAAATATATTTCATTAGTTTTAGAAATATCAAAGATGTTTATTACTAATGTATATATATTTTTCTATTGATACCTTTTTTATTTTATTTTTAAATATATAAAGGATGACCTACATGAAATTTACTATGAATAAAAGTAAGACATAACCAATAAATGTGCCCGCAGCTGAAAAAAGGTTGAAACTCCTGAGCTAGACTGATCACATACAAACACACACACAAACCTATTTTGTTGGAGATGGTTATATGGACTCTGGGCACCTCAAATATTACATTTACGTTGAAAACATAGATTCGAAAATTTTCACAATCGTAGTAATTTCCCTTACTATACATTGCATATATAGGTAAGTGGAAGTAATAATTTGATATATTTAATAAGTAAATCATTTGTTTAAAATAGATAAATAAAATGTGACTAACAAGATGCATAATATACTACAAGTTGTACTTTCAGTGAAACCGCTTGCTAGAAATAACTGTTCGAGGTTATTCGATAAAAAAAGTTCTAGTGATTCGGCGTTGTGTGACTGTGTAAATTTTCCGGTTGTCTAATCCTTATACGCTACGAATGTCATATGCAATATTTTATTTTCAAAAACCTCATGACGTAGCGCATCCTTTGATGTAGACACTATCGTTGCCGTTTTTTTCACGTAACAAAATAATTTGTCTTCTCCTCGAGCCCCAGTTATTTACTGCCATTCAGCAACATTTGTATTTAGCTTTATAATTTCCGTGTTCCAAATCATCAGCAAACCCAATTAGGGATATTTTTTATCCTGATTCAAACCATTTACGGTATATATCATCTCTCCAATGGTCGTTGAAATCCCAAATTATGTGTGGAAGTACGCAATGTATTGACTCCTTAACTTGTGGCAACCTAAAAATTTTAGGTTTTATAAGTGAACTTCTCATCTCTTCTTGAACTATGTGTTACATACAAATAATTCATTATTCCATAATTACGTTTCACTTTAATATATGTGAGCTCATAAAATAACACAACGTAATAGAACAAAAATTTAATCATAAAATAATCCCAATTAATTCAATTTCTTAATAAACTATCTAAAATATCACGTATTAAAGTTAATCCTCTGACCGAAACTGTTCCTCCTCGCTGATGCTACTGAGAAGTTGACAAACGAAGAACTAAGGATGTGTGAATTTATTATAAAATCAAGCAAACAATAAAAAAAATCTTTTTTGTTTTTTATAATAGCGTCTATTATGATGGGTGTTGGGTATAAGAGGATACAGAAGGATGTTCCAGGTACAGGTTTAACATTGATGAAAACTTAAGACTTCCGGATGGTCTAGCTATTCTTACACTGACAAAACAAAAAGCTATTATTCATTGTTTCCTAATGAGAACTCTCATTATAAAAAAAGAGTTTATTCCCCCCCCCCTCAGATCTCATTGCTTAATATTTAATACGTCTTCATCGCACACCATTTTTTTTTTTAGTTTTAAAATAATCTTCCTTTGCCGAACACTTGTTGAACAAAAAAAGTAAAATAATAGGCAATATAAAAAAACAGATATATATATATATATATATATATATATATATATATATATATATATATATATA